CTATTTATATACACTGGCCAGATTATTATGACCACCCCATCAGTACTTCGTTGGGCCACCTCGTGACTCCACGAGATGACTTCGTTGGGCCACCTCGTGACTCCACGAGATGTTGAAAGGTGATGCGAGGAATCTGACACTGCACTGTTGCCCTTCTGTTGTCTTGTACCAGTCTTGCCACTCTCCGTTCTGCCCTAACATTGACTAGTCACTGACGGCCACAATTCGCACGTTCAGACCCAGATTTTCGGCTGACAGTCCAGTCTTTAAACACTTTAACAACAGCTGCTCTTGAACATTTAACAAATTCTGCTGTTTTGCTGATACTCGCTCCATGGCTTGAGCGCCAACAATCATAGTTGTTCAAAACGTACCCGCAAAGGGACGTTATTTCTTGTGAACCCTGACCTAAAACTACGACCATAATCTTAGCTTTCTGCTTTGTGTTGCAACACCTTCCAAATATATCACTTAAGGGAATGTATAGTCTTTTAAATTCTTCTTTAGATTTGCATTTAAGAGATATTAACATAATACAATCATCATATCTATACTATATGTCTTATTTTTTCTTGTTATGTGTCTATAAAAACATGATGGCAGCCATATCATACATATGCAAGTGCTACACCTACCTTTGCAGTACTACGCAATAGTTGTATTTTAAAGTGTATTTCAACTTTTGCAGCCAAATTGGGATAGTACCTATGTTATACACTGGCCAGATTAAATAGTACCTATTTATATACACTGGCCAGATTATTATGACCACCCCATCAGTACTTCGTTGGGCCACCTCGTGACTCCACGAGATGACTTCGTTGGGCCACCTCGTGACTCCACGAGATGTTGAAAGGTGATGCGAGGAATCTGACACTGCACTGTTGCCCTTCTGTTGTCTTGTACCAGTCTTGCCACTCTCCGTTCTGCCCTAACATTGACTAGTCACTGACGGCCACAATTCGCACGTTCAGACCCAGATTTTCGGCTGACAGTCCAGTCTTTAAACACTTTAACAACAGCTGCTCTTGAACATTTAACAAATTCTGCTGTTTTGCTGATACTCGCTCCATGGCTTGAGCGCCAACAATCATCCCACGTTCAAAGGCTGTTAAATCGCGTTGTTTACCCATAAAATCACTTATACTGTCGTGGTAAACAACCTGCTTCCCTATTTATAATGGTCTGGCCCTCTAGCAACTTCAGCGTGAAATTATAGCTAATTATAGCTAATTTGCCTACAAACGTCAGGTGGTCATAATAATCTGGCCACTCAGTGTATATGTTCCATGTTCTCATTCACATAGCTTAACTTTATTTGCTGCTTGCACAATACATGCCATATTCTGGCAGAAAACCATAATTGACCCTGTCTGTATTGTGCTGACAGATCCCATTAACTAGATTTGATGACTGTCTGTTCTAACTAAGGGTTAAAGATCTAGAAGCACTGTATGTTAATGAGCGGGAGCTCAAAGTGCCCCTAGTTTTTCTATGGGGACAGCCAGAGCTTCCTGTCACTTGGAAAATGAGAAAGAAGCTTGCAAAGGCACGCTATATAGACATATCAGATGTTCAATTCATTTTTATTTTTTTTTGTAAAACTGGCAGAAATTACACTGACCTGTGTTGTCTCTGCTGATGGTGCTATTTCCATATATATGGTAAAGGAAGTGCACCTGGTTTGCTGCCTTTACGGTAGTATGCTTTTCTGTTAAATAGACTTCAAGACATCAGTAGCTCCAGACCCCTGACGAAGTCACGTGTTTTGACGTAACGTACGTAGGGCAGAGATCCTGATGTCACCACGCTGAGCCGGACGAACAGTTTTTTTATCACTTTGCTGCCATTTGTCCTGCTGGTATGATCCAGCAATACCCAATGCCTGTACTGTTTACACCATTGTGAGTACGCATTTTTTATATAATAAATTGCGTTGTATTGGACGTTACGCACTATGTCCTTGTCCTTTTTCTCTTTCCACCGGGATTTATACTGGTGCCTGTGATCTGAGGAGACCTTATCGCCTCTTTCTGTGCATGGGCTTCCCTCCCCCATTAAGAAGGGAAAAAGTGCATGTGACTTAGCTCTGTGGGTCTACCTCCCCAGGTGAGCATTCACTTGTTATCATCACTCACTGGGTGGAGGTGAAGGTCTGCCTGCATTGTGTGATTATCCTTACCTGAGAGTTATATGCACATTGGCTGCGAATCATCTGAGGAATTTTTTGCACAATCACCATTGTTTGCGTTTGTTTTTTCCTTGGGACTTTTTTTGCCTATATTGCTTTTTTGTATGTGTGTAGATATTTCTTATGCCTCATTTGTTTGAAGGCTCATATATGTGACTCATTTATATATGTTTCAATTTATTAGATATGTATGATTATTAGTTCGGCACAATATTGTTTTTTCACATTTTACAGATATTTAGTTATATCCTTAGTGCTTGGTTGCTCATATTTCCACATTACACTTACTGGCGCTGATCACCTTTATTGTTTAGTTTTAATATAGACATATCAGATGTTGAATTCATTTTTTTTTTTTTTTTTAAAACTGGCAGAAATTAACTTCTATGGTTTCTTAAGGCCTTAGCAATGGTAGTAGGTATTTTGTCTGATTCTGACTCTATAACCTTATACCGGACTTGCACATTTTGCCTTCACTGGGGGTAATGTAAACATGCGTTTCACTAGGGCCTATTCAATATGTGGAAAAACAGCTACACATGAGTGCAAAATATCATATTGTCATTATATAGAGTGGCATGGCCAAAAACAATACTGTCAGAGAATCAGATCAAGTCATAGGGTTTATATTTACAGAGAAAAGGAAAAGGATTCTCACTTTGTAGTATTCACTTAACTTAATGAATAATCATCTTCAAACAAAATGCTGTTTTTTTTTAAATTTCCTGTGAATATGATTGGGTATTTAAAGTAAACATGATTTACTAAGTTAGGTGAATTTTTACTTTTCAAAGTGAATTTTTTTTTACTTGTTTAGTAAATTAAGCTCCTTAAGTAGCTTATTGGATTATACAGTTAGCTCTGCTAACAATGTTATACACTTCCCATTTTTACATTTATATTTTTGTACAATACACTGAACTGTTAGCCTATGCTGCTTTGTTCTGGAAGATCCAGCTGTTGCAGTTCTTAACCTAACAATAACATCTTACATATGATGACACCAACATTTTCATCTGCCTTCCTGAAATTTTGAATTTAACAATTCATACAGTTTGCAAAATACTCCAAATCTCTCAACAGCACTACATTGATGAAACCTTGATTTATTCAAGTGGCGCTAAACTCAAGAGTTAAATCTTAAAAATGCATTCAAGTACCTTAACTATTAACAAAAATTATCTTATTTGTGTATCACTCGGCTGTAGATCCTCAAATCATCTCTGAATTGGGGCCGACACTGTCCTTCCTTCCAATACTCCCGCGATGGCCTACAATCCCGAGGTGGCTACTTTACAACACACAAAGGGACCATGGGGAACAAATGTAGCCAGCCTTCAGAAGGAAGGACAGTGTCAGCACCAATTGAGAGATGATTTGAGGATCTACAGCGAGTGATACACAAATAAAATAAATGTTTGTTAATAGTTAAGGTACATGAATGCATTTTTAAGATTTAATTCCTGAATTTAGTGTCATCTTTATTGTATATGTTTGTCAAAGTTTCCATCATTTTGTTTGTGTACTTGTGTTCATACTTTGGTGTATCTTTCTAAAATAGAAAAACAGCTAGTGACTGGCTCTTCACAGTGAAGTATTACCATTTGCATACCATCTCTTGACTGACTGTTCTTTTGTCACCCTCATTAGTTGTGTTAATCTACTCTTTAAAGGACAGAATAGATCCAAAAGCACACATTTTAAGAGTATATCCTGTGAAATATAAGAACTCAGTGTTGGTCTTCTTTGTTTAGTCATGCAGAGGGAAATGTTAAGTATAAAGTAATAAATCTTTCATCTTGTATGTTTTGGTTTTGCGGTTGGCAAACAAAGTATTTTGATACTTCATTACTTTGTTTTAATAATATTGATAATGCGCAATATACAAAAACAGTATGTATAAAACATCTGATATACAGTTTTGCCCAACAATCAGATCTATGTCTAAAGTGGTCAAACACTACCTTCAATGCTTGTGGTTCATAATGGTTCATAATTTTAAACTGAATAATTTATCAGCCAGTTATAAGCAAATTGCAAGGCCCTCAACATCAATAGTTATTTGACCCGCCTCCCAGCTTCCTGATTGGCCAGGAAGCCGTCTTCATGCTAATTGGTTGGAAAGCCAGCTTCCCCGGCAATCAGTATTGAGCCAGCTGTTCGTCCGGCTCGATGCTGATTGGCTGGGAAGCCAGGTTCCTGGCCAATCAGCAAGGAGCTGGCTGTTCAGCCAATCAGGAAGCCGGGAGGCGGGTCATTACTCGCCGCCCAGCTTCCTGATTGCACGTTAAGCTGGCTCCATGTTCCCCTACGGCATTGCCAGAGGAAATCTTCCTCTGACCGGAATTTCCACTATCGGGGAAGGTATAGGATCATTTGAAGGTATAGGAGCAAATACTCGGTAGCGACGCCAATATCAATACTAGTATCAGTCTCAATGCATACCTACTAACAACATCTACCTTGCCCATTTGTTGTTAGAATATCCCATTTGTTGTTAGATTTTTCATTTTGTGGTCACTAAAACTGGGTACACTAATATGGCTGTTTCAGATGATTTACATTCATGAGTTATATTGTTTGTTCAATGCTAATTTGTAGCTGCTAGTTAAGAAAGAGGCAATGAAACAACAATTGTAACAATGGCACCATGAATGCTTTTAAAGATACAAGATCTACTATTTACATTCAAATATATTGTCTTCACATGTTTTTTTCTAAAATGAAATACTTTGGATTGTTCTTATATGTATATAACTGATACTGTTTATTTCTATCTGTTGATTTTTCAGGATAGAAATCAGAAACAATGGGTGACTGGAGTTTTCTGGGCAGACTATTAGAAAATGCACAAGAACACTCAACTGTCATTGGAAAGGTCTGGTTGACCGTTTTATTTATTTTCCGAATATTGGTTTTAGGAGCAGCAGCAGAAGAAGTGTGGGGGGATGAACAGTCTGACTTTACTTGCAACACCCAGCAACCAGGTTGTGAAAATGTCTGCTATGACAAAGCCTTTCCTATTTCTCACATTAGGTTCTGGGTACTCCAAATTATTTTCGTCTCTACACCCACCCTCATCTACCTGGGCCATGTCCTGCACATTGTGCGGATGGAAGAAAAGAAAAAAGAGAAGGAGGAGGAGCTAAAGAAGTGCGTTAAAGATAATGATGAGAAGGAACTGCTCCTCAAGAAGAGTGTCGAGAAGAAGGAAAAACCCCCAATCAGAGATGAAAGGGGTAAGATAAGAATAGGAGGTGCACTCCTCCGCACTTATGTCTTCAACATTATTTTCAAGACTCTGTTTGAGATTGGCTTTATTGTAGGGCAGTATTTCCTGTATGGTTTTGAGCTGAAACCCCTCTACCGTTGCAACCGTTGGCCTTGCCCCAACACTGTGGACTGCTTCATTTCCAGGCCGACAGAAAAGACAATTTTCATTATATTTATGCTTGTAGTGGCTTGCGTGTCTCTTTTGCTGAATATGTTAGAGATATATCATCTGGGGTGGAAGAAACTAAAGCAAGGTATGACCAACAGATATATTCCAGATCCTGCTTGTAATAAAGCAAATCCTCCTAGTCTACTACCACGAACTGTTCCGCCAAGTATGGCTTTTCCGCCATATTATACTGACGCAGCTGCTGCCCCTCCAACCATGCAACATGTATATGCTAGGTCACCCATCTCTGATTTTAAGATGACATCACTAACAGAAGAGCCTCTTGATCCTTCCTACTTCAGCGGTCATTTTGATCATCGTGCCTTAGCTAGTGACCAGAACTGGGCCAACCTGGCGGTGGAGAGAGAAAGGAAGCCTGGATCCAGCATTGCCAGTGTCTGCAGTGCAACTACTTCTGCTCCAAGCAGTGTAAGAAATGAGGAAGCATGTGAGCCCCCAGTGGGGTCAGGAAGTGGAAACAATTCAAGAGCAGAAGCAGATGACATACCAGCCACCACCACTGTAGAGATGCACCAGCCTCCCGTGTTGATAGACACAAGGAGGCTCAGCAGGGCAAGCAAATCAAGCAGTAGCAGAGCTAGGTCAGATGACTTAGCTGTGTAGCAATGGAGCTACCAACAAAAAGAGAACCAAAGCTAACAGTGGAGGAATTCACTAGGTATACAATAATAAAGAAGTATGAAAGAGAACCATGAAGCAAGAACCATATTATGATGACTTCTTGAGTGTCATTGGTGTCTTTTTAGTCACTTCTGCCACTGAATGAGTCTCAAAAAGTATTAGATGAATATGAATCAAGAGATAGAGAAACAACTAATTAAGGTGGCAAAGGCAGTTCTTGATCTCGTTATCCATAGACCGAAGTTTGCTGTTATTGCACACTGTGAGTTGTAGATAGCACTTTGTTGTTTTAGAAATTAGCTGTTAGAATTTGGATAGCTGATCATTTGCCTTTCTTAACTGCAACAAAACCATGTATAAAACAAAATAAAACTAAACACCACATATTTCAGTCCAACAAATAAATTGAGGCTGAGGAGAGAAAATCCAAATACCTGAAGAGTAAACAGTGAGATGGCTATAACTTAATGCAACAAGTCATGTGTTGTAAAGAAAGGCATAAAAACGACATTTTAATTCCATTCTAAATCACATAAGGCACAACGTTACTATATATTATTAGCACTTTTATTGGCTACATGGGTAAATGCAATGTACTGTACTAAGTTGGCTTATACCTTAATGTCTAAATTACACACAGTATAACAAAGTGATCTTAAATTTATGAGATGATAGTGTGCTTTGTAAACATGTCCTCACAGTAATGTAATTATCTGTGTATAAGATGGAATATAAAAACATACCGAGCCCACTCATTTCTGTTTGTAGATGCTATCTTGTTTGCCTACTTTTAAATGCCTTAAGATTGGTATTAATCTTTGCCGAATATGAAAAAATCTAATATCCAGATAAGCATCTGGAGAGATAATAAACCCCTATTAAAAACCTACTGGAAGATTTTTCACATAACTAATCAACTTCTATTTTTGTTGGATATTATCCAATTGGATGTTGTAAACAAAAGTTATGAAGCCTCTAACATTCATTAACAGATTAAAACGCAAATATTTCTACTTAAAAACCTTAAAACTGAAGTCCAGTCATGAAAGTCTAATATAAGCTTTAACAGGTTAATTTAATTTCAAAAGTGTTTTTCAATATTTTTTAAATCTGCAGCAGTCATTAAAATAATATCTGGTGACTATACCATGAAGGTCCTTGTTCAGCCACTTCCTGTTATAGGGTGATGACGCTCTGTCCCTGTGTCCCAATGGTGGTCCTGCACTGTCACCCTGTCGTGCTGGCTTTCTATAGAATACAAGTGGCTTTTTCAACACCCATTGTGTTTATCCTGTTGTCGCCAACAGGAAACCTGCCCTGAAAAATGCCATGCAGTCCTTGCTAGATTGCATGTGGAAAGAACATGGCTGCAAAGAAGCTGTAGGAATGAGCAAATCTGCCAGGGTTTGGTTTGCACACAGTTACGCAAATCATCCTTACAGCTCACAAACTTTGCGGCAAACCAATTCGAGATCTATAGGGGGAATCTTGTTATTCGATTCAGACCATCCCTAAGGCTTATAAGGAAGCTTTTGTCAAAAAGGCATGGGAAGCAATGCCATGACTTATGCCATGGGAGACGTGTAGCAATCGCAATATTAAAAAAAAATTAAAATTAAAAAAATCTATTTCTCACCTTACACAGAATTGTCAGCTCACACCTAACAGTTTCAAACACACACTGACAATATAGCTGCTGTGAACCCACCCTTTTATTAAAAGGGGGATGGATGACCCCTTCCTTCAAATAGCTGATCAGGGGCAGATGCTATGCACTGCGTTATAGCTTGTTTCTTATTTTTGACAGGTAGCCAGCAAAGTTTTTGGCCAGAAATTTGTGATTTGCACATCCTGAGGATTTGCTATGTAGCCATGGTAGCAGCAGTCCCAAACCTTATCCCTAATCAGGGATGTAAAAAGGTGAAAACAGCATTTTATCAAACGACAAATATGATACACAGTGCACAGAACAGTTTACATCTACTTTAAATTCTAAAGTATACTGTTCTTTTAATAAAGAATAGTTGGAGAATTTTAAGGTAAACATGGTTAATCGTAAAAAATAATAATAATAATTTTAAAAAATCTTTAGACTTTACACACTGCCGTTAGTAATGATTTTAATTTTGTTCTCCAGACAATGAAAGATAATTACTAATAATATGGATTAAATTAACTAAATATTGCACATAGCCCTCAAACCTATAAATAAAGGAACAGTCTGAAAGTATACATTTGCAAGAAAAAAAGTTTACCATTAAATCTGCTGTACAGTTAAATAGGAGATATCATTTTGACATGGTGAATTAATTTCATAAAGTAGTGCTGAGGGCAACTATTTCCATGCTCATGGCATTTAAAAGAGGCAAGAGATAACTCAATAAGCTAGAAAATCTATGTATATGTACCCTGACCTAATACTAAAAAGCATCATGCAAATTATGCTCATAACAATTGATTACTGAAAGTAATTATATAGTATTTGCTTAACTGATATTCAGTTGGGTTTTTTCAAATATTGAATATAAACATATCTTTATTCAAACACCACGATTATTAAAAAAAAAAAAAAAAAACCTTATTAGCTTGTCTTATGTTATTTCATGTTGCTGAAATAGAATTAACAATACAATGTGAACTTTGCTTTCTTTCTGTTTGAGTTGGACTAACACATATTTTAACTCAGCAGCACAATCTGCAACATTTCAGGGAAACTCTGCCACTCTTAATACAACATAGTTTACATCGTTTAAAAACTGTACATAGTTTTTCACTTTATTATATGTCTAAGTTAACACTTTTTGTGGGCTGTATGAACTATTAAGCATGGATGAAAATTTAAGCAGTAAATTTCCACAAACACATGAAACTTGGAGTCATTTGTCACATTTCCTGTTACTCCTCAGTTGTCAATTTCCAGAAACATCATAGTCAAGTCATAAACTGTTTTACTAAGGGTAAAATAAAAAAATTAAAAGAAGGTAAATCAGTCTGGCAAACCTATAGTAAATCAGTCCATCATTTTACCTAATACCGCAATTGAGTTTCTTTTCAAAGGTACATTTAACTCAAATCAAAAAACAAAATGTTGCAAAAGAACAATAAAAAATGATCTTGTACTTTTTAATTTTACTCATCCAAAAGAAATGTATTTTCTTTCAAATGTAATTATTAATTACCATTTGTATAGATCTTAAAGGCTGTTATCTATCAACTGTATTATTGTTAGTCAGGACATACAAGTTCATAGATTGGTAATGTAAAGCTAAGAAACACTAATATTGAAAAATGGAATTGTATTAAAAGTATCCACTTACTATAAATAGACATCAATCCTGATTATCCGAAGTACACACAAAAAAGCGAATCTCTTAGGCATGTTTATTATTTTTGTTAACTTGAATGTATTGACCTGATACATCAACATGTTTACATACAAATATGCACATCCTATTGTTTTGGTTTTTTATATCACAATATTATTCAGTGTATACTACAGTAAATGTCATGTGTCATTTTGTTTTAAAAGGTATTCGATTTTCATTCATTGTTCTCTACTTGATAAGCATTTTTGTATCGAATCAAATCAAAATAATAATTAAAAAATAAGCATTTCAAAAATTTATTGTATAATATACATATAAAAAAGTAAATAGAATGTGTCTAAAAATGATTTCAAACATAGAACAAACTAATTTAATAAGCTTATAAGTATTAGTATGTAACAGAACAGAAAGAAGAAAATAATAGCTGCGTTTGAACTACAAATTGTCTCAAGGAATAGAAATTAAAGCAGAATGGATTAAATATATTTAAATGAGTCCAGGGTGTTCTATCAAACAGTTTGTCATCTGATGGCATTATTTTTTTTAACTAGTGTAAAGGAAGATCTACAACTCACAGCTTTATGGTAATAGTATGGTAATAGTTTGGTATGATACAGTAACAGCAGTATGATACAGAAAGTATAAAGCTTCATTTTAAATAATGCTTATGGTTACAATGAAAATACATCATCCGCCACAGGACACCCTCCATCGGTCAGCAATATGTTTTAGCAGTATATTAGTGCCATTGAGATTTTTTATACAATTTGAATGATCTTTGTGGCAGAATACTGTTCAAAAAAACGTAGCTACCAATGCTACTCGTAATAATAAATAGAAAGTAAAATGTTTAGTTTGCATGTAGCAATTGAAGACAAAATCTATATAAATATATATATAT